CGATCCACCTTAAATCACTTCCCGTAGGTATATGTCAGGATTGGTGACAACTGGTTAAGCGATTCACAATTCTTGGGGAAGATATAGGGTCCACATAGGGTCAGATCTAAACGTTACCCATATATTACTCCCCGGGTAACTTAATGATGTGTGCTAAGTTTGGTGACAAACGGCTTAGAGGTTCGCCAGTCATAAGCGGACGCACATACAAAGTTTTGAGAGATAATGGTTTAGAATTTAAGCTTACATTTAAGATTACATCTTTTCGATAAACTTTTAATTAAGAAAATGCCCCCCCCCCCAAAGTGGCCCAGCGGTATGTCTGCGGACTTACAACGCTAGAATTCGGGTTTCGATACCCATGGTGGGCAGAGCACAGATAGCTCATTGTGTAGCTTTGTGCTTAATTGCATACAAACAAACAAACAATTTAGAAAAAATATATATACAAACGGCAGACAAAAATAATCAAATATGTTTTAATTGATCTGAGCTTACGACTATTTTAAATATAAATATTTGCAAAATTATTATACAGCTTACTGCATCTTACTAAAACTACAGAAAATAAAAGTGAAAAATCCGAATAAAGAATATGGTTACTTCATAAATAACACGTCACATTGTGTGAAAGTATTTTCGGGTATAAAGTAAGCCCACCTATGTGGTATTTATTAACAACTTATGTTTCATTAAATTGGAATGAAATTTTCAGGGTTTAAATGATTGAGGCGTATTACTTAAGTGATTCTGAGCAGCATTCTGAGTGAGTACTAAGAGTATCCTAAAGAAAACGTGTACCAGTGTTATGATTTAATTAAGGAAATCTGGATATATATATAACATTATATTCATCAGCTCGCGATGATTAGGAATAGCATCATCATCTGTCATCACTCACATTCTTATTATTTACTTAGCCACTCCCTAAAATGTGTAATGTCGCCAAGCGAAAACATAACAGTATTTCTTAACTCAGAATGATGAAATCGTTTAGCTATAAGTTGATTTAATGGGATTTTCTGTGAATGTAATCAATATCACAAGCCCTGTGGCTCACAGGATAGTATTTCAAATAGGCTTGGCAGAAACGTTTATTGTTACGCGTATAAAGGTATTTCGGAGCAACAGAAGGTCAAAGTTGCAAACAGTAAATCAAATAATGAATATCAGTTGCAGAAAACAGCTGAGATAAAACGGTTTATTGAAATTTTGAAGGATTATTTATGATTTTTTGTTTGTATGAATATTCTTTTGAGATTATGTAACAAAACGTAATAAAACATTGTTTGATTACACGCAGAAAGCTGTCGACAATTGTCAAAACTCGATATTATAGCCTGGTAATAGTTTAGATATAACTGTATGCGTTAAAATCCGGAGTTTGATTCCCGCGGTGGACACAGTGGATAACCCATTGTGGTTTTACAATAAAACAAACAGCAGCTGTAGCCACCCCAGTATCACACCGGTATGTCAGCGGACTTTCAACACTAGAAACCGGGTTTCGATACCCGTGGTGGGTCAGAGCACAGATAACCCATTGTGTAGAGTTGTGCTTAACTACAATCAAACAGTAGCTATAGGGCTATTCTTTGTTCTTTTTACCTTCTTCAGTCTTATAAAAACAGGGAGATTGCCTTGAAATTCGCTATTTGATTCTTTATGGATATCTTGCCGATAATCATACCAAGATCACCTTTTGCGGTAACTGTGCAGTTAGAATTTTATGATACATTTAATGTATCTATATAAATATAATAGTACTGTCTGTTGTCTGTTGTATGTCCATGTAATTACTTCGCAGGATATGGATGGATCTTCACCAAAATTGGTATGAAGGTTCATTAGGTCCATGCGGGGGTACATACAAATTTTAAGTTTT